TATTTCCCCGGGGGTATCCTTAAAGTTTGGTGATACAAGATCTAGTTTAATGTTCGCTATTTCCGTTACTTCTTTATAATGTCTCTTTCCAAAGCCACTCTCCCTACAAATCGGCAAACGTTCCCTCACCATTTCAAAAACAAGGAGGAACTTTTCGCCCCTCTGGCGTCCCTCCTTGTCCAGCACAACTCGACAGGAACAAAGTTGAAAGTCCGCACTTATGTCGGAGACTCGCGCTGCTCGCTGGGGGCTCCGCCCCCAGACCCCCGCATGTGTGGAGCGCGTGCCGAAGTATTTTCAGTACGTCCAAGGTGACCAAAGGCAAATTTTCCAAGGAAGTAAATAAACTGCTTCTTTGAAAGGTCTATTTAACAACTTTTGACCATATAATTATGCTACTTTTACTGCCCAAATAGATAGCTTTTATTGCATTGGCTACTGTGGCAGTCAATGGGTGCACACAAACAAGGTCCGGAAACTATTGAAGACTGCTTTGACAAGGATAGAGGTGAATGGAAAAAACCGCAAGTCTCTACGACCACCCCTTGACCCCAAACATTTCTATGAGTGAGTCAGTCAGTCAGTGTCAGTCGGATTGCCGGTGACGGGACCCGATTGCGGCTTAGTTTCGGAAATGTCGCAGCTCGGGCGTCGCTACGGAGCATGATCGTCCGTCCGGACAATTTTAATATTATTTTCATTATTTTAATTTTTTTGGAATAATTACCAATAATTTGTAATAATTTTACATAATTCGAAATTAATCATAATTGGCTGAGCGAAAGCGAAGCCCGTTACTCCAGTGCGGTTGAAAAGTTTTGTCTGTCTGTGTGTGTGTCTGTGTGTGTGTGTGTGTACACTACTCCTCCTGAACGACTCGGCCGATCTGGCTGAGATTTTGCAGGCTTATTAGGTATGGTCTTGGCTCGGCACACGCGAAATTTCACCATTCTAGCTCAACTGGTTTAGTTTTTATAGCCGAAAAACACCTAAAAAACGGCGAAAACTCGAGTTTTCTGCAGGTAGATCACCTCTGTCTAGAAGAAAGGGGGGTCTGGGGGGCGGAGCCCCCCAGCCTCGACAAGTTAAATAGTGACAAGGGTCAAGATCGTGTTATCTGTAGATGAAGCATTTCTACCTAGAATTAAGGGGGGTCTGGGGGGCGGAGCCCCCCAGCATGCAACTCGTAAGAAGTAACCGACGATGGACAAGCCAATGCCTGCCGAAGGCAGGTTAGCGCCGCAGGCCAAGGTAGGTACGCCAGGCGCGGATTGGAGGAACAGGCCGCGAGACATCGCGAAGCCTGTTACGACAAGACGCGGTCTGGCGTAAACCTACCTTGTTTATTCAATAAATGGGGAAAGAATTTGGATCAAGTGTGCGTGTATTTACTGAGCTACCCCCCGGGAACACCCTGTTTTTTTTTAAATAAAATTTATTTTATGATTAAAATGCTCTTAATATTTTAAAAGGAATTGAAATGAATTTTGTCGCATTACGCACAAAATGATCGAATGCAAAGTATTTAAAGCAAGAAAATAAGAAATTACATTTATGCAATTTTTTTTTATTATTTTGTTCAAGTGACTTCTCCGTTTCTACCCCGCACGCGCCACGTGCCTGTATACAGCGCAGGGTAGGCAATGCCGAGCGGCGACACACTGCAAAGGTTGCACTGACCGATCCCGTTTTCCTCACTCGTCGCTCTCTCTCGCACTCATAGTGTGTGCTGTAAGGGTGCGGGTTTGCAGGGGCGTGCTAGCGTACCCATTCCGACATGCAGCACTGAAATGAGTATGTCCAGGGAGAACATGCTGGAAATTGGCTGCCTCGCAAGGCTTGTGGGCCCTTCAGCCAGGACTTGCTCGTCCAGCCCTGCGAGGTGGCCAATTATCAGCATGCCCTTACTGGACTTTTTCAGGCAGTATTGCATTTCGGTACGGTGCGCTGTCTCTCTCGCACACCTTCGGAACACTCCATGAGTGCGAGTGAGACAGGTAAGTGCCTAGGCAGCAGGCACCCACAGCAGTGTGTCGCCCGCACAGCACTGCCAACCCTACACTAGAAAGGCACGTGTAGAGTAGAAACGAAGTAGTCAGTGGAACAAAATAAGAAAATAAAATTACGTTAATGCCACTTGTTAGGGTAAGGTGCCCAGTGATGGCCACTTTTAGCGCACTGATGCGTCTTTTACACGTTTACGAAGTCTCTCGATCATCGTACCGTTTGGGCTATTTTCAGGAGCATAAACGAAGGATAGAGTAAAGGTTCGCCAGTTTGAAAAGGAGCAAAATTTAACTCTGTCTTTGCGAGAGAAGTAACCAAAATATCAGTGCAGTTTGCCCAGTGATGGCCAACCTTTGCTTAGTGATGGCCTGTGCCCTGCTCGGTGATAGCTGGTTCTGGTTTTGAGAGGGGAGTAGCTCTGTGCTTCCGTGTTTGACAGTAATCAGCGAGAAATCAAGTAAAAATTCCAAATCTGCGAAAGAAACTTGTCACTTGTCCACATTTGTATCTCCAGCCGTTTAGAAGTTATGACGCCCCAAAGCTTGATTTTTGGGAAAATTCACGTTTTTGGCTATTCATTAGAGCTAAGACAACGCGAAATTTTCAAAAAATCGTGTTTTGGAGCGCTATAACTTCCAAACAACTTGAGATACAAATGTAGGCGGGTGCTCATTGGATTCAGAACATTTTTTTCTATCGATTTAAGACACTAAAAGGCCAACAACACTTTTATATCCCGAAAATACCGAGACAAATGTGCTATTATAGTCATTTTTTAGTGGTTTTTAGGCCATATTGTCAAGAAATATTGGCCGCAGGTCCGATCTGTGGAAAAAATCTTGTTCCTTGGAAAATTTTACGTAACGGGGTACCTGTCTCAGCCACTCGGTGCATAAATTGATTGAATACCCACAAAATACCCACATTCATGTTTGTGTAACTTTGCTGGGCTATAACTCAGCCAATAAATTTTTGCCAGACATAAAATTTTGGCTTTGGTCGTCTTTTTAGGTTGATAACATGCCCGAAAACATAAGGACGATCGGAGGGTGTCGTACCACCAAGTGTCTTTTCTAAATGGGATTACTCCTTACCAAACCTTACGGACTCGCGACGGATAGTTATCTTATTGAAACATATGTTACGCCATTCGCGACAGATTTAATTTTTTGCGACACATGTTACGCTTCTTACGACAGATTGCACGGTGCTAGCGATAGATGTTGTAAATAGTTAATGCTTCATCTCATAGCTAACTACCATTTCAAATAAACCCGCCATACACACTCACAGCCTTGTCCTAATCAAAGTCTGCGAATACTACTGTTTTTTGTCTGCGACTGCAGCGCTCTGGTGTTGAACCCAATAAACTAACTTTGCCTCGTTCACTTTGTGGTAAGCTCTCGAACTGATCACATCTATTTATTTACCCTGTCCTCTGCACTGCAACTTAACTGCTATTACTTGGAGAAATAGACACGGCACACTCATAACTTTACAACAATAGATAAAGGTATAAAAAACTAACGTTACCTATCAAGCTTGGCCCATGAAGCTGATCCTACCAAGATGGGCGTATGAAGCTTGCCATTTGAGGCCTGGCGTATCCAGTTTGGCCAGCTTAGACCATAGACCTTTGACTATGTAGATGCATATGAATATGTGTAGCATACGAGACAAAAGAAAGATTCATCTTTTGACCTAATGGAATGGAGGTAGGCGGTCATTTTGACCGTTAAAAGTGCTACGCCTCGCTCAGCAACTAAACTGGGTTAATACTTACAATAGTATATATTAAATAACGCCATCCACGGATGTTCTCCAAGCTTGGCCTCTTCTCCTCCCATAATTTTTGGAATGACGCCATCCCCACAACCCATTGTTGGCAGGTCCAATTTCTCGCAACACACCTGAATATTTGAACCAAACTGATTTTAGTGCTCTGTTACTAGAGAGTGCAAAAATCGATGTTAAAAAAAAGATTTCACGACATCCCTGTTGTCACGAAGTTAATATTATGTATCTTGTATTTTTTAAAAAATATCCATTACATGACCTGTGCCAAGCGGATGTTGTTTCGTGCTGTAGGAGCACTTTCAAAACTCCAACCAAGAAGAGCACGTGCATGTCAATGTGACTTTTAAGAAAAAAACAAAGATACCTGAAGGGGGCAACACACTGAAAATAGCCTAAAACCGACTCTAATTTTTGTCCCATTGTTTGTCCATTGGGCAATTTACTGAAACCAAATTTACTGAGACTAGGGGAAATGGACTCGTAACGGGGGCCCTCTGGGCCTCTGCCTCGTCACTTTCAGTTCAGTCGTTCTCAGCAACGACAGCGAGTATCGGACTGTGCTTGGTCTCGTTCCAAAGCAGAATGTTGAAAGAATGCTCAAAATTAAAAAAAGTGTTCACTTACCCCCTCCTGTCTGAACGGGAAGCAGTTAGCCGCGTGAATCGCGTTATGCGCAGGGCGGCGGCCATGGCTCCCAGCGCCGCCCCGAACAGTTCCGAAAACGTTCTTTCGTGATTGACCGAAAACAAACATTTGGACATTCAAAACATACCGAAAAGTTCATCTTAATTTATTTAAGAATTTTCCTGAAAGTTTGGAGTCGATACGACGTCTAAAACGTGATATCTCGGAAATGTCGGTGCGGATTGGTAAGAGGAGAGGTTAGGTTCTTTACCGTGTTGCGCCAAGGGAAAAGACGACGGCACTTCCTGCTGATTTTTGCGTGAGGTGAGACGTTTTACGATTTGATTCGACCGAATGTTGCTTGGAAACGCTATTTCAATGCACGCCTCACATTCTGGTGGCATATTTATACCGCTTCTGCCGTCGGGAATATTTTTTTCAGCACTGTTATGTACGACGCCTAACCCGCCCCCTTTGTGCGTTCCAGGCTTCTCTCATTTCTTTTGCGATGGACGAGATTGAGGGCCTTATATCGGAGGATGACAGCGTATTTCTGGCTCTGGTCGACGAGTCACTGGATATTAGTGGTGGTGCCTTGCTGGAGGACAGCTTTTCATCAAATCCTGAAGTATCTAGTTTAGCTGCCTTGGGTGTTACATCAACACCACATTCAAGGAATGTTGGGAACGCTCCAACTAGTGACAGGTCTTCAGCAAGACAGACAAGGTCAAAAACAGCAACCACTTCTCAAACTGACTCTGATCCTCTACTGACACTATCTTCTCCTGCAACGAGTACAAGATCTTGAGCTCGTCCCGGCACTCCAACTCCGTCAACATCACAGCCCAGAGCAGCAACTAATACCCAAGCAGACTCGGATTCACCACTAAGACCATCTTCTCCTGCAATGAGCACAAGATCAAGAGCTCGCCCTAGCACTCCAACTCGTTCAAAATCACAGTCCAGGGCAGCAACAACTACTGACTCGGATGCACCAAGTCCATCTTCGCCTGCATTGAGCACGAGGTCAAGAACTCGTCACAGCTCTCCAACACCTTCAACATCACAACCCAGAATATTGGCCACAAGAGCAGCCCCTCTCGTTGGTCCTCCATCAAGGAGGCCCTCTTCAACGGGAGTACGTGCAAGGACTCCTTTGAATGTTCCATCTAGTGTAGCCCTAACAGCCCGCATCAAGTGTAGAGAAAGTCCCAAAGATGTTGCCAACGAACGTACTTTTCAGGTGCATAAAATATGGCATTCAATGAAAAGTAAGTTTTTGAATGCAAGTTACAACATGTGAAAAGATTCACACACTTGGCATTTGTTTCATAGGTTTTGGTTTTCTGTCTCGTGAGAAATTTATGGATGACAGACAAGTAGTAGTTTTTGGCAGTGCTTTCTCTTAAGTGTCACTATTTAAAATAAAACTTAATCTCTTTGAATACAATGTTAGAATGCCCTCTGCATAGGATATGTAAAAAAATACTCCGGGCTTTTGAATACATTTAGTGGGATAACTTTAAACATCACTTTCAAAAGTAGGATAAATTTTCAGATTATTAATCTTTCTTTGTTTGGCAACGAATATATTACACACAGTATGCAGTGGTATTGTGACAAATCCACATGTTGGTAGAGTGTTTTGTGAAAAGCGTTCAAAATTGAAGGTAAGTAATGCCATATTGTATTTGAGTGTTTGCTCGTAAATTGCCGAAACTTGAAACCAAATATATGAGACAAATGCCTATTATATGACCCATGAAACATGTTTTCTGCAAGTACATGTTTATTATTTATTTCTTATAAAAACAATTTTTATTAATAATAATTAACTGTAGTGACTTTTTTCTTCTTTTCTCTTAGGGGCGTTCAACAGAATAGCTAAACCTGATGATTTCCTGGAAAAGCTTCCTAATTTGATAGAGAATGCATTTAATAAATAACTTGAAGAAAAGTACATTGGAAAGTGGGCTGAACGATTCAAGCTGTTTGTAAGTGACATCAACGTCCTCAATCTCAATCTCGTCCATCGCAAAAGAAATGAGGAAAGCCTGGAACGCACAAAGGGGGCGGGTTAGGCGTCGTACATAACAATGCTGAAAAAGGTATTTCCGACGGCAGAAGCGGTATAAATATGCAACCAGAATGTGAGGCGTGCATTGAAATAGCGTTTCCAAGCAACATTCGGTCGAATCAAATCGTAAAACGTCTCACCTCGCGCAAAAATCAGCAGTTAGTGCCGTCGTCTTTTCCCTTGGCGCAACACGGTAAACAACCTTACCTCTCCCCTCACCCCTCCGCACCGACATTTCCGAGATATCGCGTTTTAGACGTCGTATCGACTCCAAACTTTCAGGAAAATTCTAAAATAAATTAAGATGAACTTTTCGGTACGTTTTGAATGTCTAAATGTTTGTTTTCGGTAAATAACGAAAGAACGTTTTCGGAACTGTTCGGGGCGGCGCTGGGAGCCATGGCCGCCGCCCTGCGCATGACGCGATTCACGCGGCTAACTGCTTCCCGTTCAAACAGGAGGGGGTTAGTGAACACTTTTTTGAACTTTGAGCATTCTTTCAACATTCTTCTTTCGAACGAGACCAAGCACAGTCCGATACTCGCTGTCGTTGCGGAGAACGACTGAACTGAAAGTGACGAGGCAGGGGGGCCTCCGTGACGAGTCCATTACCCCTTGTCTCATGCTGAAACTACACTCCCCGACAAAAATTAGCGGGACGCTTTTGGTCCTCGATATATTTTTCAAGTCTTCCGAGCTGGGAAGCTGAAAATTTGTAAACGGTTGCCTCATTTACTCCCCTCGAGGCCTGCGAAGCGCGTGGCCCGTGCGCCTTTACCTTTACCTTATCGCAGAGTCCAAAGTTTTGGTTTACGAGGTAAAATGAGTCTCCTCTTTCCAACATTGCAAGTGGAATTCAATTTGAACCAACCCACCACCCCCGCTGCACTCACGCCCACCTCCTGGAGTGGATGGATTTCAAGCATGTTCGAATTTCCCGCAAAGCAGCGTTGGGGCGACCCCGTACCAAACAATCATGTTTTTTCGAGGTTTCAATCACTCCCGGGTCAATCATCCCCCGGAAAGCCCCACCCCCTTTCAAACACCGGCCGTCCGTGACCTTTTGGTTTGAGCAAAACGCAACAAAACTCCAGGTGGCATTCCTTCAGTGTCCAAGAAGACCCGTCAGCGAAGAAACACGGTGCCGGACGACTGCAACCCCTGCGGTAGGGGTGCTCAACCCCTTGCAGCCCTGCACCACCCTGGAAGGGTTAGAAGCCCTGCGATGGGCGGGGCGGGCTGGTCGAACAAGTCATGAGGGTAGCAATCTTGAAGTTTTTAAGTCGATCCCACTAACCGTTCGTCTTCCAGAGCGTAAACGATGTCATTATAGACACGCAACGTTTAAATAATAAAAACAGGTCTTATATACACAAAGCGTGTATATAAAATATACTCGCGCTGCTCGCTGGGGGCTCCGCTCCCAGACCCCCGCATGTGTGGGCCGCGTGCCGAAGTATTTTCAGCAAGTCCGTGGTGACCAAAGGCAAATTTTCTACGGAGGTAAATGTACTGCTTTTTTGAAAGGTCTATTTAACGGATTTTGACCATATAATTAAGCTATGCTTTTACTGCCCAAAAAGATAGCTTGTATTGCATTGGCTACTGTGGCAGTCAATGGGTGCATACAAGGTTCGGAAAATATTGAAGACTGCTTTGACAAGGATAGAGGTGAATGGAAGTCTCTACGACCACCCCTTGACCCTAAACATTTCTATAAGTGAGTGAGTGAGTGAGTGCGTGCGTCAGTGAGTCAGTCGGATTGGGGCTATATAGGTTCTTGATGATGATGATTTACCCCATTGCCGGTGGCGAGGACCCGACTGCGGCACAGTTTCGGAAATTCTCGACCAGACCTACCGATGGGGCGAATGAAAATTTTTAGTCAGTCGGTCCCCTTTATAGAAGATTGGGTAGATTTGCTCGGAAACGGTTAGGAACTTTCAACTTTTGAGATTTTATCCCATTTTCCCATAAAATTTGGAATCGAATGGAAAGAACCTCAAGTCTCTACGACTATTCCTTAAACCCCAAACAAAGTGAGTGAGTGAGGGAGTCAGTCAGTCGGATTTAGGGGCTATATGATAGGCTCTTGATTGATGATTTTGAGGACGTTGCCGGTGACGGGGACCGGATTGCGGCACAGTTTCGGAAATGTCTCGACCAGACCTACCGATAGGGCGAATAAAAATTTTCAGTCGGTCGGTCCCCTTTTTTGAAGATTGAGTGGATTTTGTTGAATTTAGGCCTATTTTTATCGTTTTGAGGATGTTGCCGGTGACGAAGACCCCATTGTGGCATAGTTTCGGAAATGTCTCGACAAGACCTACCGATGGGGTGAATAAAAATTTTTAGTCGGTCGGTCCCTTTTTTTGAAGATTGAGTGGATTTTGTTGAATTTAGGCCTATTTT